ATCCTGCGTGGAAAGCAATCCCTGCAGTGCTTGGCACATACTCGGTGTTGGATAAACACGCACCTGCTGTTCTTACAATAAAAACGGTGTTGCTATCTGCAGTTGAAAACTTGGTGGCGGCTTTCTTCTTGGGGAAGGGTCCAAGAACTAGATAGAATGGGAGCAGAGGAGGATGGGGAGAGAATGTTCTTTCCTTGTCCTGCTGGTAGTCATTCCAGACGGCCCATGCCCAGGCCCAGCCCAGCAAATGCCCAATGAGCCCCTTCGTGCACTCACCCTTGGGAGACAGGGTGTGCTCCAGGCCCATTTGGCCCGGCTTAAAAGCATGGGTCCAGGCAAACCCCTACCTACACTGTCTCACCGTCTCAGCCCCACAAGTTGAAGCCAATGTGTGGGTGTCAGAATTGCCCTGGAGGTTCATTCTAGAAAAAGAGAAGAAACCCCGGTGTGAAGAACATTCATTGTACACATACATTTTGATTTCTTTTTGTCTGAGTCCACAGAGGATCCCACCAGGAAGCTCGTGAGAGATTCCGTGGGAAATAGGAAACTAAGTTCAGGAGCCTCCAACTCCAGCAGCCAGGCCTGTCGTCGACACTAGGGTAAAGCACAGAGAATAATAAAAGCAGGGTGGCTGTCCTGGAGACGTGGCCTCCCTGAGGGATCTCTGTGGCGGGATGGCAGGAAACCCGGAGTCCTCAGCTCCTGGGGCTTCAGGAGTTCTTAGGCACAGTTCAGTCCCATTAGCTCATTTTGGGGAAACAAAGCTCAGGGAGGCCAAAGACTTTGCTCAACACACGGAAGCACTGAGTCGGGCCCTGCGCTGCTGCAGGGGTGGGGTCTTGCCCTTTCCTGACAGAGGCGCGGTCACAGTGCACAGTGTGTCTGGCCTGTCGCCTTCTCCTGCAGGAAGAAAGGGGCCGCTCAGGACAGGGCTGTGGACCGTGCCTGCTGAGCCTCTCTGGGGTTTTCCGTGTGTTTCTGTTACCCAATTAGAAGAACCCGGTCCTGCCCCACCCTCTTCCCGCAGGGCTCCCACATGTGCCCTGGCAGTCAGTGGGGTCTCGCCTCTGGCAGGCACTCCCTCTGTGAGGACTTTTGAGGGGAGAAGACGAAGACGGAAAGGCCTCTCAGCCGGCTGTGGCCCTCAAGGGAAGGGAGGGAAACTGGGGTTATTGGTGAGGACCGTTGCGTTTATGGGACCTCTTATCTTTATGACAAAAGCTCAAATGGGACTTGAGCTGCAATAACAAAGACATTATTAATAAAATTTGGGTTCCACAGTGTGGGGCTGTATTTGTTGGGCCTGTTGTGTTGGTGTTTGGGGGGCCGTCTTTGGAACCCTGAGATTTTCTGTTAAGTCAGACCTTGATGGTGGGAAGGTGGGAAGTCCTGGTGTGAATCCTGGGGGCCATTCCCAGTCTCCTTCTCCCTACTGCACCCCAACTTTCCAGGTAAATATGAACCTTCCCCCACAGCATTGGAAGCATCCCCTTTTCCCTCCTCACATAATTCCTCTCCCTCCAGTCCTGGACTTGACTCCGTGGGAGACCCAAACAACCAGGACTTGAGTGAGG